TTTATTGACTGGAAAAGTGGCCATTTTTCCTCAAGTGCATTATGTTCACTTGTGGGTCTTTGTCAGCTTAATCATTTTTTATTATTTGGGTAATTTTCAAACAAGCCCATGCCAAAACACACCAGCCTCTCTGCGGAGCGGATGGCCCGGAGGATGAGGGGCTGAGACTGGTTCATGGTGCTGTGGCAGAGCACTTCCTTGGCTGCCGAGTTGTGTTTGAGAGCTCTGCTGGTGACGTTGCAATGCAGGACGGCTTCCTGTGAGAACCTGAGGACGGAGAACTGAGGGGTCCTCCCTGGGAGGCTGTACAGCAGGTTCCTATAGGGAGAAGGGGAGAAAGAAGGAGGACAATGTGTGTGAATAACTTATTAGTGGAAAATTGCCTTGTTCCAACTGGACAAATAACCCACTAGTACTGACAGCAAACCATCCGCTCCTGCTTCAACACACACAAAGTGTTGCTTCTTTCTGTTGCTATGTGACCAGCGTTAAATTGGATAAGTAGTCAAAACAATAATAATATAGATAATATTAGATATGAGGCAGCAGTAGCTCAGTCTGTAGGGACTTGGCTTGGGAACCGAAGGGTCGCTGGTTCAATTCCCGATCGTACCACACATATTGAAAGTGGACTAATAACTGGAGAGGTGCCAAGGTGTCCTCGAGCAAGATGTTCTTGAACAAGGCACCCACAACTGCACCTTAATATACTTAATCCAAATTTGGGAAACATTATTCTCACAGTAGCTGCCTGTCAACAGGCTTTACAGGTCAGCTGAAAATATAATGAAATACAATAATTGATTAACATAAACAGTAAATGAAATGCATATCTACAGTGGAAAATACATATATCTATTGAGTATCTAAAGAATATGCAATATAAAATGTATAGAATAAATGTGAATACTCTATAATAGATACATCTACAATAAATTCAATTAATTATTACAGCTTATTAACTAAAAAAACATACATTTCATTTCATTTCCATCTTTATTTCGAAAAGATTTAAAAAAAACAAAAAACAAATACAAAATAATAAATGTGAAAAACAGAATACCGTATTGTTAGAATACAGTATTTATCAATATTCATAATAATATGTATATATTCAACAAAAAATATTCATAATAATAATAGTAATAATAAGTGTCCGAAAGGGAGCAGGAGGAAGCAAATGCTTATTAATTCCGACCCCTTACTTACTGCTAATCAATGATTATCCTTTAAATCATTTCTGCAAGTTATTCCTACTCACATCTTTACATTTATACATACATTTACAATAATTTCTTATCTTCAATCACCTCTCTTCATTCTCATAGTTTTTCAAAAAAGTGTTTCTGTACATCCTTTTAAACTGAATTATGCTTGTGCTTTGTTTTAACTCCTGCTCCAAACCATTCCATGAAATCAACCCAAAGATTGTTATACTCATACTTGTCAGAGTTGTTCTGACCTTGAGTTGTTTATAATGTAGATTTCCTCTCAAATTATACCCACCCTCTCTGTCTACGAACAATGTTTTTAATTTCCTGGGTAGTAGATTATGTCTTGCTCTGTACATGATTTGTGCCGTTTTAAATGTAACTGATCAGTAAACTTCAATATGTGTGACTTCAAAAATAGTACATTAGTGTGTTCAAGATATCCAACATTATTGATAACTCTTATAGCCCTTTTTTGTAATATGCATAACGGCTGTAGGTAGGTTTTGTACGTGTTTCCCCAAATCTCCACACAGTAAATCAGATATGGCAATATCAATGTGTTATATAGAGTATACAATGAGTTGTAGTCCAGAATGTGTCTGGCTTTTCCCAATATT